TACGACAAAATCATATTTTGTCATTAATTGTTTTGTAAAATAATGACAATATTATTTCGTCATTGATGATACCTTTAATGACGATAAACATAAATGCGTCATAATTTAGTTTTTAATAAAATATTGTCAAATAAAAGTGAGTAAGATTTATAAACTCTTTTACACCAATGCAAAACTTAATATCAATGGTTAAATATTATCTATAAGTCGTAAATCATATTCGTATCGATGATAACCGATGTTAAATGTTGAAAAGGGAAGTACTCCCTCTGCTCCGTATTAAAGTTCTCACCTTCCGTTTTGGAATATCCCTTATTTAAGTTCACACTTCCATTGTAGAAAACAAAACACTGCAAAATAGTGTCAAACAGTGTCCAAACAGTGCCAAACAGTGCATTCCACAGTAAAGCCAAATTTATTTTCTTAATCTGTGTGAAGTAAAACTGGGAACTTTAATAGGGACCGGAGGGAGTACAATACTATAGAAAGTATAATACTCCGTAGCAAAGGAACGGCCGTAAAAATAATCATAGGGAACGGCCGCAACAGCTCCGAATTCCGCTGCTGCACTTCGGCTGGAGAAGAAAGACTCGGCTCCACTTCGGCCGCCGGTCCCTATATTCTGATGCTGCTCTTCGGACGGAGAAGCATGACGCAGAGCTCCTAAACCGAATCTATCCCTCTCCAGCCACATCTCTTCTACTATTTCCAGGTAAAATTTTAGGGTTTAATACACACGAATTATTTAATGATTGTTCATACATATTTCGATGTTTGAATAGATTTTTCTCTACGCTTTGTGTTATTGCTTCAATTCTGAAATTTATTTAGATATTATGATAAGTGAAATCTCTCCTAAAAATTTCAGTTTGGTAATGCATATCACATGTTCGTAGAAATTTCTCAATGATGTATATTGATTAAGAATAACTTTACAACGAATCTTTCACAAATTTTAGAGAATGTAATAGATTAAGATACGTATGTATGTTTGTGTTTAGATGTGTGTGCATATGTATTTGTTTGTGTGTGTGCCTTGTGTATTGTTTGTTTATGACTTTCTAAAAAAACTATATGGGTCAGGATTAGTTTTGTGTTTCTTTCAATTTTAAAATTTAAAATTGATATGGATTTAAAATTTATGAATACTAAAGCAGACCGGGAAGTCACTCGGATGAATGAACGGGTCATGGGTCAGCCTGTTAATTAACTAAAGCTATATCCCCTTTTTAATTAATTCACCGTTAGTTAGATTTCAGGATTAGTTTTGTGTTTCTTTCAATTTTATCTCTTTCAATGAAAGGGAGTTTCTCAATTTTTGTGGGCAGATTCCTCTTGAATTAGAAATATCATGAATTTATTATTTAGTTTTTATCTACTTGAACTAATTAATTATTTGTTATGGTCTTGGGAATAATATCATTGAACTTAATCAAAACATTTGGTCATTCTTTTATTCAGTATTTCAGTGCCAAGTGTTATGAGCTTCATGTTTACGATCTTATCTTCTTGGGATAAATAATAACTTAGCAATAACATTAAGACCTATGAAGCATGAAAACTAAATTTCCTTATGTTATCAAGTACGTAGTATATATTAGCTCCCATACTTTCTAGAAAACACAAGTTTACCTTAACTTACATCTAATAATCTTATAGTTGTAGTTTTATATTACTTATTAACTCATATTTTCATCTAAATGTTCAAATGACGTAGGATGACAGTCTCTAACATTATGCATTGGTGGTGTTACTAAGTAAATTGGACGACGTAGATTGTGTTATAGATAGAAGGATGGGGCAGTTTGAATTTTTCACTGAGGTTTGGTTGAGGCAACATCAGATTTCAATTGTACATAGTGGATTTGCTGTGTGTGTGTGTGTGTGTATATATATATATATATATATATATATATATATATATATAGATCAATCTGTAGTGAATCTGTTTGTATCTGAACAGCTGAGGAATGCAATATTACCTAATCATCAATTTTTGTTTTTTCTGTTATTGCTTATATATGTTCTCTATTCCTACATACTGTTCTTTTTGTGAAGATGAGGTATCAGTCTCAAATGGGCTGCACATATCTTCATAACCCTCTCTGACCTTCAATTCATTACAAGATTTTTTTTATTCTAGGACTTTAAAGGCTAAAATTTTCAAGTTAACTTGGATTGGCTTCATTTTGGCATAGAGGAGTATTTTCTCTTACTTTCTGCAGTTGCTTCCCCTCCATCTCTTCAAAAGCATGGTGAGAAATGTCTTCGGTAAGATCTTCCATGTTGTTGAAATCTAATAAATTAAAGAATGAGCTTTTAATTATTGACTCTAATGGTATAATTATCTCTTTTGTAAACTTGCAGACTTCAAGTTTATGCTGCAATTATTCACTTTAATGTTAATGATAAAGGCCCTTTGCTCAAAGTATTTCTTTTGATTAGTTAGCTTAACAAGAGAAGGTTGCGACTTGCACATGCAAACTACATCAAAAATATGTGTTAACACTTGGATCCTTAAGAGTAAGCTATTAATTAAAATCCGATTTTCTAAAATTATGGATTACAACCTGATTAGTGTTTAGTTATATGATGATATAGAATATTATTTTTCTTATAAGTCTGCATTTGTCATTTCCTCATGTTCTAGTACGTAGAGAAATTGCAAAAGCTAACTGTGAGTATGTTTGCGCTAAAAGAACAAGTGAATTAATAAACTGCGAAGAATTAGCTATTAGATGGATTCATTTCTATAGTATGCAAGTGCAACCATCAGTTTTTCTAAGAGAATGAATACTTGTACTTGGAGCACCTCAATTTATATCACATCAAGACTAAGATGACTAACTTCTTTGGAATCAGTTTTTACTTTGTAGCTGATTTTTCACTTGCCAATTGTTCTTATGATATTTTATTTACTTTTTTTTCTTTTGCAGGAGGCCAAGGGACCAAGAGGGTATATTAATGAAACACAACAAAAAGGAAACAAGATATACTTGTTGAAGATTATCAACAAATTTAATTACAGATGGAGCTCATCTAGTTAAAGTATTGGACAGTTCAAATTAAGTTTATTTTAGATTTGGTTAGCTTTGTAATGTTAGCACATGCTTTTGTAATGTAAACACACGCTCTGACAATTTGGATTATAAATGTTAATTCTTTTCGCTAAAGAAGTAGTGTTTATATCTCGTACAATTTGATGGCAATATATATATTGTAATCACAACTAGTTTATAAGCGACTAAAAAAGTTGAAACTAAAGTAATTCTAATTAATGACGAATTTTTATAAATATGACATCATATAAGTAACTTCATTATGATGATTTTGGTACTGTCACAATAAAAAAATATAGAAATTTTGTTGGGATTGTCACTATATGTTATGTTTTGTTGACAATTTAAGATTTTGTCATTTATTGTGTGGATTATTGGTGACAAAATGGATATTTAGATGACAAAAAAATCAATAAAAATGTGACACATTTGGCGTCACGAAAAGTGATTAAAATGGTGACGAAGTGCTAAAACGTCATTTAATGTTATTTATTTGGTGACGAATCAAAATTTTGTCACATATACCTAATACCACGGAGCTACGATGACGATCACTGTGACGCTCCTAATTCGTCATATAAAAGTTTTAATGACAAAAAATGAATTTTACATGACGGAAAAAATTGTCACATTATGTCAAGATTCTTGTAGTGAGGCTACCGGACTGGACAAACTCTACATGAAGAAGTTCCTGTTGAAGAAGGACTTTGAGAAGCTTGTCACAATTCTGCACCGGTGCTTGTGGTGCAAAACAGCCTCAACTGATGAGATGAACAAGAACAATGCAAAGGCAATCTTTGCAGTTCACCATGGCTTGAACATCAACTGGGGAGAGGTAATCTTTGGCTCCCTAACTGAGTTCATCAAGAAGAAAGACTCTGAAACAGGTCTTTTCTCAACCAAGATGGGACATGGTCTTCTCATCTCTGCCATCCTTGCTGCAAAAGGAGTTCAACTCAGGGATCCCATCCCAGTTGATCACTCCAAGACCATCTTCCTCACAGCCTCTCCAAAATTCAATATTGCCATCTCTTCTGAACTTAGGAGAGAGGAAAGGCTAGAGAAGAAAAGGGAAGAACAGGCTGCTAAGGCCAAACCTGTCAAGAAAGTTACCAAAAAGCCCAAACAACCTGAGCAGTCACAGGTTGTAAGGGAAGTTAGACAGAAGAAGAGAAGTGACAATCTGTCACTACCAGAGGAGGAAACAGCAGAAAAGGTTGCACCAGAGTTGCCCTCCCCAAAGGCAACCAGGAAATCTGCTGCCAGAAAACTGAAGCAGAAGAGGAGAAGAAAGTTGGTTGTGCAGAGTGGTGACTCTGACAACTCAACCACTCAACCAAGGCAGAAGAAGAGGAAGACTAAGGTAATCTCACCTGCCAAGGATTCAGCAGTTCAGGGGGAACTTGCACCAGAATCTGGCACTCTACCAGAGACTTACCCAGAATCTGCACCAGAGTTGCCAAACTCTGCTCTCTCACCAGAGCGTGAAGCCTCACCAGAGATGGACCAAGAAACCGACTTCAACATCATTCTGCAAAAACAGTTTGACAGAGTCCTAGCTTGGAGAAGTTGGAGAATGGGTCCTCTTCAACAAATCATCCAATTCTTTGATGCCTATGAAGAAGAAAGAAGAAGAAGCTGATGTTCTTCACTGGGTAGGCACAGATGATGTGTCAAAATGCTTCAATCTTACCTTTCTAATTTCTGTCCTACAAAAGAAGAAAGACAGATATCAAGGTAAAGCTCCAACATCTGAACTCTCTCCAGAAAGGCATGTCAGAGCCTTGGAAGAAGAAGAAATGGAAGCATTTGATACTTGGCTGATGGAGAAGAAGAGAAAAGAATCAATGATCAAATTTCGCCATAGTGCTCTTGAGGAAGGAGAGCCATCCATTGCGAATGACATTGCTATTACCATGGAGAAGGGGCTGACCATATAAGGGTAATGTATGTCAAGAGGCTGACCATATACCACTTCATATGGTGTTTTTCCAATGGCAGAGTGATAATTGGTGTTGTACCACCATTCTGCTAAAGGAATCCAAGCTGCCCATTCTTTAGGATTTTCTCCAGTCATGCATCTCAAATAGGTCTCCAATCCTTTATTGACAATCTCGGTTTGACCATCCGTTTGAGGGTGGTATGCAGTGGATAACAGAAGATCTACCTGCTGTAATTTGAACAGACCTTGGCAAAAGATCTTGTCTCTATCACAAACAATTGTTTTAGGAATACCATGTAGCTTAAAAACATTATCCATATATGCTTTAGCTACTGTGTTGGTAGAGAAAGGATGAGTTAATAGGATGAAATGAGCATACTTACTCAAACGATCGACCCCCACTAAAATGGTGTCCTTTCCTTGAGACTTAGGTAACCCCTCTATGAAATCCATAGAGACATTACTCCATATAGCCTCCGGAATGGGAAGGGGCTGTAAACTTCCTGCCGAGGCTTGTAAGACATTACTCCAATTCATTCAAGATTCCACACTCTTGAATGAATACCCTTATATCTCTCTCTATTCTCTTCCAGTAGAACAAAGCTCCTCTTCTTTTCAATGTAGCTTGTACTCCAGAGTGACCACTGACGAGCACTTTGTCACGGTGCGTCAAAATAATTTCAATACTAAACACTTATACGTAGTATAGCGTAGTAGAGTTCGTATCCACAGGGAAAGGAATGATTTTCTTTCTATGAAACTAGTAATAAAAAGGGGGGTTTTGGTTTTGAGTGATTTAATTCAATTAAGAAACTAAGATGAACAACCTATATGTGTTTAATTCAAGAATAAAAGGGACTTGGCTTTGCTACTTTCCACTTGTTGATATATTTTAGTCGATCCTTGTTATATCTATAACTTATCTCCTCTCGAATACTCAATTGAGGAGTATCTCCAATTCATCGAGGGTAGTTATTAACAACGACCGTTCATTAATAACCCTTACTATTAATCAAATATAGAAAAATGCCGTATACCGATATAATAGTATCATTCAATCTTTTTAACTCCTTGATGAAATCAATTGAGGTTGATAACCTTAACACAACGGTTCCAGTTTAACCAACAAAATTGATCCCTCTTAAGTCTATTAACCACGACCGTGCATTAATAAACCGAAGTTACTTACTTTGTGAAACCACCAACGATTAACCATCGGTTCGTTGATCGTTTCTAGAAGTAATTAATGTCGGAACGTTAACTAATCGTCACTTAGCAACCCTCCAACATTAATATAGAATGAGATTATGGGAAGAATTAATAATCAATAGAAGAAGTTAAGAAAATAACTCACAACTTTAATAATCAACAAGCTTCAAGAGCAAAACCAAGAATGGAAGTTTAGCTCCTCATTTGGAGGCTAAACATAGCTAGAAAAATATAAAGAAATGCTATTCTAAACTGAGCTAAAGAGAATGGAAGAAGGGATGCCTTTTAGAGGAGAAAAAGAGTGCTATTTATAGGTGTTTTTCAACACCTTTGGCCGGGTACCCGACCGGGTATAGGTACATACCCGACCGGGTACCGGTCAAAATCAGATAATCTTCCACGTTTTTGTGTTCCAACACGTTAATTTGTCTCGGGTCAAGTCAGACCCGACCGGGTCAAGTAAGGGACCCGACCGGGTTTGGTCTAAATCAGATTTTTCCAAATCTTTGTGATCTTCAACATGTTCTGGTGTTCCGGGTCATATCTGACCCGACCGGGTCGAGTAAGAGACCCGACCGGGTCTTACTTTTTCTTCTTAGATCCGGTCTTCAACTGACCCGACCGGGTTCAAGGTCTGACCCGGTCGGGTTTTTGTGCTCCTGGGTATTTTTGTCTTCAGCTTTTCTCCCCTTTTCCTTGCTACAAACTCTATCACTATTCTATAACTATGAAAAGAAGGAGAGAACAATTACAAACAAAATAAAACAAGTACTTACAAAACAAAAGCGATGGAAAATCCACACTCAATCAACATAAAAACATACATTTATTGTAAGGAATAAATGTATTTAGATTTTGATGATGCTAGGTTTATTAGAATTTGAAAGTACCCCATTAGAAATTGTGTATTAGAATTTCTTTTGTAAGTTCTAGCTTAGTCTGCCTGCCAGAGTTCCATCTTGCCTCTACCAGAGTTGCTCCCAGAGTTGCTCACCAGAGAAGCCATCAGAAACTGGCTATCAGAAAGATACCAGAGTTGGCAACAGAGACGGACTTCAGAGATTGGACCAGAGAACCTCTTAAGACTCTGCTAAGTACCATCAGATTCCGGAAGCCCTTCCAACGGTCGTTAAACTAACGGGAAATCCCCTAACGGTTACGAACCTTTCAACGGAAGCATGGCACTGTACACACATTAAATGCACATTTAATGCTGTACGTACGAAGAGATATTTAGAGCTGATGATTGACCATGCGAGTATCTTTACGCCCCCAAAATAGCAAGTCGGAGGACCAAACGGTCAAGTCAACAGTACATGCATTTAATGAAGCTGTCTTCTACATTCCAACGGGAAGACTGCTCCCAGTATATAAGATACACTCTGAAGAACTAAGAAGATAACTTTGCCATAACTTTTGCCAAGATAAAATTGCGTAAACAACCTTCTTGAGATCAAAACTCCATTCCTAACAAGAAAAGGCCACGGTTGGAAGATAAACATTCCTATCCTTCATCCAACTAGCAAAGGCAAAGTTACTCAGTTCTTCAACACTTCGAGAGCTTCATATACTCATCTTTTGTGAAGAAGCAACGTTGGAGAAAACTGATTCTATATCAAACACTTCTTGAAAAAGAAGGGACGTCTCAAATTAGCTGGAGTAAGTGAAGTGGAGATACTTCAAGAGACTCAGTAAAACGAGACCAGCCATCAGGAAGCAGGACTGCATCCCGGGTGGCAACTAGACTTGAAGAAGACGAGGAGTGCTTCTTAAGCTCTAGGGACTAAGGCGTTGTAAACTGTTGTTTTGGCAAGCTTAGTGGAACAGTGGACTAGAGGAACGAGTTGTTCCTTGAACCACTATAAAAACCCTGGTGTCATTTACTTTAAGCTTTTAATTACTGCACTTAAGACTCTACTGACTAACTCTTAAGGTTGGACTCTGTGTCCAGCAGATCTTCCTTCAGAGTTATCAGAAAGGTAGTTTGCCTTAGTTTTCTTCTAGAGGCTACCCGGACAGAAACTTATCCGCTGCCTGGTCTAGTTCTGCCATCAGAACTTGACCATCTCTGTCACCAGATTTCGACCATCTCTGATAAGTCAGACCTGACTTGGAGAAAAGTTTAAATTCCTGAACAGTCTATTCACCCCCCCTCTAGACTGTTCCCATTACAAACGGGACCAACATTTATGCACTATAAACTAGTGCATATCAAACACCCCCACACTTGAATTTTTACTAGTCTCGAGTAAAACAAATTCTGTCCAAGAAGTCCTTAATTGACAAGAGTAGCAACACCAACATCCACAAGTGTTTATAACAAATACATAAAGTATCTCCAAAACCAAAAGAGTAAAGATGAGTCTTCAATTTCAATCCGACGAACTCTCTATAGTAATCACCCTCAGGATCCTGCAAAATCAAAAGAAATAACTTTCTCTCATTCTCTCATTTTGCCTAGGTGCCCTTTCAAGTTTTCAACCCAGCTTCCCACATTTTTTTCATTTTTTTATTTTTCACAAATCTCACAAACTCATTCTTATTTTTGCTTTATTTTTGCTTAAGCTGCCCTTTGTGGGTTTTCAACTTAACAAGCTTTCGTTTATTTGATTTTTTTTAGAGATAACAAGAATAAAGAGTGTGAATTGAACATACCGGGAAGATCTCCCCCACCACTAGTCCGTGGCACAGTCCCTAGTGCCCGCCCGCATCTCCGCCATCGAAAAATCCTCCATAGCCCCTATACTGTGTATCCTCGTCCATATGATCCCCGCTGTATCCGTCTTCCCCGCCTCCACCACTAGAGGTCGAGCCACCAAAATAACCCCATTCAGTGGGGTTGTACCATGAAGGTGCCGGAGGAGGAGTGGTCATGGAGGTGAAGTTTCCCTGATGCGCGATATAGGAGTAGATAGGCCCAAAAGTCCTCCTTTGATCCTCTTCATATCGGCGCCAATCTTCTCGCCTTTGTTCTTCAATCCTCTCGAAGCTGTGCCTTTGCTCATTTCTGTACAGCCCGACTTCCTCCCGAAGTTGGGTGTAATTGAGGTTAAGAGCATTCATGCTGTTTAGCATTTCTTGCTCAAATGGAGAGTATTGATGAGCATGGGGTTGTGGGTGAGGTTGTTCAGGAATGATGGGTGGTGCTTCAAGTGCAGGCTGTTCATTGGCGGCTTCATTGTCCCCCGCCTCATTTTCTGGGGGTGCAAAATGTGGTGGAATTCCCCCGGGCATACAATAGTGGTGTCCAACACCGATTTGGTGATCGATGATGTTAAGCGGGAGGTTTTCGGAAGGGAAGGGGTAGTATAGTTCTTGGCCTGGTTTGATGTGCCAATTGTAGATTTCTAGGCCATCATGTTCGATGTGTGAGAGGGTCACATCGCCAGCATTCTTTAAAAATTGAAGGCCAAGAAGGGTCCTGTGGTTTTGTGCACCATTGCATACAAAACCATATAGTGTGGCAATGTGGGTAATTAGACCCCCTATCAGAATTTTTCCTCCACCATTTTTAACATTGATGATGTGATCCCAAAGAACTGTGGTCACATCATATGGCCCGGCACCCGGAAGAACAGCTTGTGCTAAGAGGCATACATCCCACACCCTAGTTTGATGGTTGTTTGGTCTTCCGAAAAAGCAATTAGCCAAGAATTTTAAGAAAATTCGGAAGACCGGGTGTTGGATATGGTTGACATTGAGGTGGGAGGTACGAACCTTGACAATTCCGGTCATTCTTCTCCATAGTTCATAGGCCACCGGTGAACTATACGCTACCGTGTCATCAAGCAAAGGTAGGCCGAAGTGTTCAGCGAATTCTCGTTTGGTGAGTGAGCGGTTCTCGTTGAGCAAACGAAAGTTGATCGTGTTATTTGTGTGATCATTTTCATCTTTCACATGCTCAACGGAACTGTAAAATTCATACACCAAACGAGAATATGGCCAATAATGCATATCAAATATTTTAAGCATGCCACACCTTTGGAATATATCTCTCATGATATCATGAATCCAGAACATCGTTAATGTCAATTGGCATAGAAAGCGGGAGGGTTTTACCTCTCGTTCGGATTGCTCAAGGAAGCGGGTGTGTTGTGATTCGGTCTCAAACTCCACTGATTCGAAGCCCTCGACTGGTGGAATAGCTCTTGGAACTCTTGAAGAAGAAGCTCTTCCCTTTTTTGGTGCCATGAAATTGTTTTCCCCCTCTTTTTTTGTGAAGGGTTTTTTATTTTTTTGGGGAGGTGAGGTTTGGTGAGGGTGAGTGGTATGGTTTTGTAGAGGATGATGAGGAGAAGAGGTATTTGGTGTTTGTTGGGGAATTTGGCTTGAAATTGGACCTTGAAT